CAAAGTGCCGTCCCTGTGTCAGGCTGGGCCCTGCTCTGTGAGGAGCCGAGAGTTCGTTCATCTCAAACTGAGTTAAAACCAAGTGTTCTCACCGTGTGCTGTCCTCCCTGCTCGATGAGGGGAGAGGAGAGGCAGCAGTCTTTAGGGACCACCTGTGTCAGACACTGCCCAGCCCTCTGCTGTGGACCCACAATCCCTTTTCTGCATTTCCAAAACCCAGATGTTCAACACACAGATTTCCCGAAGTTTGCAGCAAAATCATTTGGCCAGGAAATCTGACCTGTGCTGACCTAAAGCCTTAATTTTTTCCACTTGGTGTCTAGCAGTGATTTTCAGCTGGGGTGGTTTGGCCATGTCTGAGGACATTTGTGATTGTCACCACTTGGGGTGGGGGGTGGCGTGCTCCTGGAATTGGCTGAGTGGGAGCCAAGGATGCCCCCACAGAGAATGACCCAACCCCCATGTCAGCAGTGCTGAAGGGGAGAAACCCTGCATTAATTATTTCGGAAACTAGTGAATTTAATCCCTGCTCACACTAGACACCAGTGTAAGTCCCCAATGGTCAGACAGTATAAACCAGGATATCCCCAGCATCTGTGTGTCACCCCATCTCCTCCCATTCAGGCTGTGCATTTAAATGTGTGCAGCCTCCTAGGTCCTCGGTAGTCAGATGGCGTGGAACACAGTCTCCTGGATCCATGGAATCGCCGGGCCCGGGTGTCTTGCCTGCGATGATCCTGCTCCCACCCCTAGCACCCTAACACTAGGTGGATGCCAGGGTTGCTGATAAATGTCCTGGAGAGCACGGGACAGTTCCTCACACAGAAAGTGCTCCGTACATTGATGGTGCTGGGTGGAGAGACCCACATTAGGTCGCTGAATTCTCAACATTTGAAGACGTGTATTACCCCATTTTATAGGAGAGGAAAGTGAGGGCATCAACTGGGACACTCAGCTGTGACACAGGGACAGGGCAGGCAACATGTAGTTGGCCTTGGGCAGAATGGCTGGACCTGAGACATGGCTCCAGGTCTTGTTCTTCATAAAAGGGATGTAGTCTCTGGCCCATCGTCCATTCACTGGCCCAGGATAGGCTCCAGGGCCCCTGACTTGTTGACACTGGGTTTATGGGAGGAAATCACATCCATGGACCAGGAGAAGCCGAGAGGCAGGCAGCAAGAGTTGCCTTAAATTACTTCAGTGGCGGCAGGAGAGTTGGGAGCAAAGGCCATGAGATAGAAAGGATCTGAAGCATTGGAAGAACTGAAACGAATGTGACTTCATTTTTTCCATTTCCTCAACCTTCAGCGTCAGCCCCTCCAGCCTCAGCTCCATCCAGGAGTGCAGGAAACAGTTGTGCCCAAGATCAGATTTCTTTTCTTATTCTTAAGCAAACAGCCGACACCAAAGGGAAGCAGATCCTCCCCCCCCCCCCCAACACACACACACACACACACAACCCAAAACCCAGTGTGAGTCTCACAGGACTCAGTGCTGGCTCCTGAGGGTCGGCAGGGGACCGTGCTCTGAAGTGGATCCCAGGACTCTTAGGCAAAGTCCAGCCGCTCAGCTGTGTGTTCTTGCCCTGCCACCTGTTGAACTGGTGACCTGCTCCGTAAGACCCTGGCACACCTCCAGCCAGCTTGCCATCATAGTGCTGGCGGAGAGGGTGTCAGCACGCGTAAAGGCCAAGTAGTGAATGCTGTCAGCTTTGGGGACCACCAGGGGAAATCAAGCATGTTACTATGTAGGCACTTACCTACATACATAGAATACAAAGCCATTCGCAGCTGAGCAGGTAGCTGAATGACACTTGACACGTTTAGACTATGCAAAAGGATCCGGGTCCTGGGATCTCAGAGGTTTATATTCTAAGAGGAGGACCTTTGAAACAAAGTTTCTTAATTATAGTAAAATAGACAAAAACCTACCCTTTTAACTATTTTTTGTTTGATTTGTTAATCCTCACCCAAGGATATTTTTTCCATTGATTTTTAGAGAGTGGAAAGGAAGCAGGAGGCAGATCGAAAACCATCAGTGTGAGAGAAAGCAATTGGTTGCCTTCAAGCTGCACACACCCCAACTGGGCTAGGATCAAACCTACAACCAGGAATCAAACTTGAGACCCTGTGCAAATTGACACTCTAACCTCTGAGCCACACCAGCCAGGGCTAACTTATTTTTAAGTAACAATTCAGTAGGCGTAAGTACATTCACATTATTCTGCAATCATCACCACCATCCATTTCCAGAACTTTCTCATCTCCCCAAACTGAAATTTTGAGAGAGAGAGAGAGATTGATTGATTTGTTGTTCTACTTCTTTATTTTTTTAAAATATATATTTTATTGTGTTTTTTTTTTTCAGAGAGGAAGGGAGAAAGATAGAGAGCTAGAAACGTGATGAGAGAGAAACATCGACCAGCTGCCTCTTGCACAGCCCCCATTGGGGATGTGCCCACAACCAATGTACATGCCCTTGACCGGAATCGAACCTGGGACCTTTCAGTCCGCAGACCGATGCTCTACCACTGAGCCAAACCGGCTTCGGCCTGTTCTACTTCTTTATACATGCATAGGTTGATTCTTATATCTGCCCTGACTGGGGATAGAACCCATAACCTTGATGTATTGGGACAATGCTCTAACCAACTGAGCTACCCAGCCAGGGCCTGCTTCTGAATTTGACTCCCCTAATGACCTCCTGTGAATGGAGTCACATAGTATTTGTCCTTCCATGTCTGGCTTATTTCATTGAGCATAATGTCCTCAAATCTTATGTTGTAACCTGTGTCAGAATGTCCCTCTAAAGCTGGATAATATTCTATCGTATAGATCAGCGGTCACCAGCTGGTGGTCCATGAGGTCCGAAAGGTTGGCTGGTAGAGATGGAGCACATTGTGTTTATCCACATTCCTCCATGGGGCTTTGGAGACTGTGAGTCATGCTGCTCTCTGTCAAGAATCTGCGTAGAACAAAAGCATTTTGGGCGTTCTTGGCAGCATGTTTGTCTCCTTGGGTTTAGAGGAGACAGACATGATTGTTCTCAGGACCCTTCAGCTGGGGAGCACGAGTGACCTTTTGGGACTTCACTGTCTTCAAAACAGGCAGGTTGTGGTTGCTCTCCATGGGCCCCTGTGTATTGCCCCCAAGATCCTCTGGCCTTTTGTCCTCCAGGCTCCGGCCTATCTGATCCCAGACCTGGGTCCAGGGTGCCCTTGGGCCAAAGGACACAATGGTAAAGGCTCATTGTGTCTAAAGATAGAGGGGGAAACTCATAACCATCCCCCCAGAGCTTTCCAGGGTGTCTTAACTTTCTGTCCAACTACAAGCTCTCCAACATAGCTTTTTTAAGTTTGCCCCCTTTTTAGAAATGGAGATGTAATTCACATACCATAAAAAGTAGTATGTTTTCATATATTCAGCCTTGTGCAGCCATCACCATGAGTTCCAGAGCATTCCATACCCCTGAAAGTAGCTGAGTCCCTGATAGCAGATACTCCCCAGCCCCTGACAACCACAAACTCCCTTCCTCTGGATTTGCCTGTTGTGGGCATTTCATAAAAATGGAATCAGCCAAAACTGGTTTAGCTCAGTGGATAGAGCGTCAGCCTGTGGACTAAAAGGTCCCAAGTATGATTCTGGTCAGGGGCATGTACCTTGGTTGCGGGCACATCCCCAGTAGGGAGTGTGCAAGAGGCAACTGATCAATGTTTCTCTTTCGTCGATGTTTCTAGCTTTCTATCCCTCTCTCTTGCTCTCTGTAAAAATTCAATGAAATGTATATTTTTAAAAAGGTGGAATCACACACAGTGTGGCCTTTGTGTCTGGCTCCTCTCCTCTTAGGAAGCAGTTGATGGATGAGGTTTTCCCTGTACCACAGACAGCGCTCGTAGCATGGCCGGCATCACGTGCCTTGACTGCCTTTGCAACACAACTTTTAGCATCAGCTCTGTGTGCTGTCAGCCTGCTTGTAAAGGGGTTAATGACTTGCTCTTCTGATCTCTGGCCAGTGACGGGTTAATGATGATGGGGTCAGCAGGCACACTCCTTGATTTCTAGGGGGCATAAGCTATTCACCCCTGAAATACCTACTGGAGGTATTTCAAGGGGACCAAGATGCTTTAGACAGTGGCTCCCAGCCGTGCTGAGCGGAGATGAGGGGCCTTGGGCAGCAGGTAGGCCCCCGTCCCGCTCTTGTGTCTTCTCTAAATGGGAGCAATGATGCAGCTCGGAGGTCGCTGTACGGTGGAGTGAGAGGTGCTGTGTACGGTGCCAGGCGCATCACAGTTGCTCTGATAGCAGACTCCTCACATGTTTCTTATTCTCACCCAGGCACTAGGGATATCAGGGCCTGGTCCCTCTCAGTGGGGGGCCATCCTGGGCTCTGGGGGGGATTGAGCAGCTTCCCTGGCCCCACCCACTGAATGCCAGGAGCACCCCCAGACACGAGAACCACAAATGTCTGTAGACAAAGCCCAGGCAATACAGCATGATGCAGAGGAATCCCCGGAGCCTCGAAAAGGGGTCCATGCCCTGCAGGGCCTCTTCGTCTGCTCAGGCTATCCCATGGTGTCTGTGTCACCCCTCGTGTGCCTCGGAAACTTGGGGTTCACAGATCTCCAGGACTCCAACCCATCCGAGGCAGCCCTGGGAGCCCCAGGCTGTCCCCCCTCTAGCCGGTGAACGGGTGGAGACTGCCAGCCTGTGAGAGCAAGGAGGGATGGCAAGGGATGCTCCGCCTACTCACATGCCCCAGAGCAGGGGCTCTGAGCCTCATTGCCTCAGTGTCTCATCTGTGAAATGGGATTGTTAACTTTTTACCTCACAGATAAAAGTGGCCAGTGTGCTTGGGTGGGGGACACGCCTTCTGCAGAGTCCTGCCTGGAGTGTGACCGCTGAGTAGGTGGAAGAGCGTGTATCTAAGCAGCCCGGTCCTCATCCTTTTGCCTGGGGTCTGCAGATCCTGAAAACCCCAGGTGTCTCTCTTCCCATCTCAAGATGGATAACAAGAAGCGCCTCGCCTATGCCATCATCCGCTTCCTCCATGACCAGCTGCGGCACGGGGGGCTCTCCTCGGACGCCCAGGAGAGTTTGGAAGGTATGCACGGGCCCGTCTCCAACTCTGTGCCCCCACTGCCTCCTCCCACTCCTGCTCCTCCTCCTCCCCACCTCTCTTTCTTTCTTCGGAGCCTAGAACTACTACAGGATGGAATTATAGGTCAGCACCTGTCCAGCCGTGGACTCTGCTCCTGTCCTGGTTTCACAGCCAAGACCGCCGAGCCCCGAGCAGGCACAGGACTGAGCTCTCCGGCCTCCTAGCCCAGTGCTCTTCCCCCGCCAAAGGGTGCCAACCCCCTGTCACTTAGGACAGGCCTTCTGTAGGTACAGAGGAGGCATGTGTGTCCTGGGGCAGAGGGCAGGTGACAGTGCTCTGACTAGTTCCTGTCTGTCCCACATGCGATTGGTTGCCCCTGGAAGGAGCCCCGTTGTGAAGACTTGGGCAGGGGTAGGGGTGTGGTGGGGTGGGGGTTGGTCTGGACTGGACTCCTTAGAGGTTCAGCAGAAGTCCCCGGCATCTGGATCCCTGAATGGGGATCTCTCCAGGCTGGCCTCAGCTCCGCAGCTTCCCAGCAAGATAGCACGCAGTGGGACCCCATGGAGAGCCCCACTGGGCAAGGACAGTAACTTCCCCCACATTTCCTTGCTCTCGGGGCTCAAGGGCATGTCTGTCTGTCCTGACTTTCCCAAGGCTTTGGGCTGACCAGGAAGAATCCAGACCAGGGTCAAGGAGTACACACTACACAATGTGCCCCAGGGTCTCTGCCAACCGACTTGGAATCTAAGCACGAGCCCTACCTCCTGATCCTCGGTCATAAACTCAGGTACATTCAGAAGAAAATGCCTGTGCTTCTTGCAGTTGCAATCCAGTGCCTGGAGACCGCCTTCGGGGTGACTTTGGAAGACAGAAACCTTGCACTCACTCAGACTCTTCCAGAAATATTTGAAGCTGCCGCAGGCAAGGTGAGCTGCGGGGCCGCCCATTAGAGCCAAGAGCAGTGAGAACAGCATGGGTACCAATGGCTCCGAAGCAAGTCCCTCCTGGGTGAGGGCGGGGCACCTGCACTGCGGGCCCTGGGCCTGGTTCCTCTCTCAGAGCCCAGAGGCCCCTGGCAGGGAGGAAGGCTCACGGAGCCGAGTTTGGAGAAGGAGGAGGACAGCGGAATTGCCACCTTTTTTCTTTGGGGCCAGGAGATGCCACAGAACCTGAGGAGTCCCGAGGGAACCCCGCTTTCGGAGGAGGACTTGGCGGAGGCAGAGCGCCTCAAAACCGAAGGTGAGAGAAGGGTTCTCCGTCCCCCTGGCACCTCTCCCCCTGGACTCCAGAGGCTGAGCCGGTGGGCAGGCTGATCCTGGCTCTGAAGTCGAGGTAGGGGTGCTGTTGGACAGTAGGCGGCAAACCAGCCTTTGGGGATGACTTTTAAGAACACAGATGTATGTGGAGAAATCATAGCCTCACACCCAATGGGTGAAAATGTATTAATAAGCAGTGTGGCTGCTGTGGAAAATGGTTTTGACAGACAGTTTCTCAAATAGTTAAACACAGTGATCACGGGGCCCAGCAAACACACATGCCCACAAAGATGCTTGTACACAGATGTTCACAGGAGCACAGTTCATAGTAGCCAAGAAGTATAAACCACCCAGATGTCTGTCTGCTGGTGAATGGATACACCCAAGGTGGCCTGTCCCTGCACTGGGTCATTACTCAACCACAAGGCACTGACCATGCTACAGCGTAAATGGACCTTGAACACGTGATGCTCAGTGAAAGAAGCCAGACACAAAGGCCACATAGCGTGATTTTGTTTATGTGAAGTGTCTTGAACAAGACCTAGGAAGTGGGTTCATGGTTATTGGGCTGGGAGGGGAGAATTGACTATTGATGAGGACGGGGTTACTTCTCGGGGTGGTGGAATGTTCTGAAATTAGATGGAGGCAATGGTTGCACAACTCTGAATATACTAAAAAGCCATTCAATTGTATACTTTTAAAGGGTGAGTTGTGTGGTATGTAGATTACATCTCATTAAAATTGGGCTCTATTTCTGAAAAGATGCAAAAGTGACAGTATTTAAGACTTATGTCACTAAGTACCACAATCAAAGCAGTGACAGCTGCCATCACCAAGGGCTAGCTCAGCCAGCCCCTAAAGACACTTGATGCAAATTGCACCCCCAAGCCTATGCCTGAGTGTTGCATCCTGGCCCCCAAAATCTCACACCTTCAATTAGGAGCTGGGAGAGCTGAGAATGACCCCTTGGACCCCTCAGGTCTTTGTACATTTTTTTCTTTTTCTGTAGGAAACGAACAGATGAAAGTCGAGAACTTTGAGGCGGCCGTGCACTTCTACGGGAAAGCTATCGAGCTCAATCCTGCCAACGCCGTCTACTTCTGTAACAGGTACCTGCCAGGCCTGCCCCGAGGCCCGGCCAGCCAGTCTCACATCCTGGCAGGCAGGACGGGCTGTTGTACCGTAGGTTACCGACTGCCCCCACTGCAATCCCAAATACACATAGTGTCAGCTGGTCAGCGAGCTGTCAGAGTCAATAGTGACATTTAAATTAGGTGGCACCATTCTCTACTCAGATGTGGGGCCAAGGAAATAACCCACAATTTGGATACGTGCACATGCTCACGACAGCATTGGCAACCGTGGGGAACTGCATCTGGCCTGTACTTTTTCTTTGTTTTTAAAAAAATTTATTGGAGTAACAGTGGTTAATGACATTATATAAGTTTCAGATATAGAACGTTATGAGATCTGTATACTCCAGTGTGTGTTCAACACCCAAAGTCTGGTCGTCTTTCTGTCATAATGTATTTAACCCTGGCCTGTGCTCTTTTATTTACTTATTTATTTATTTTTATTGATTTCAGAGAGGAAGGGAGAGAGAGAAACATCAGTGATGAGAGAAAATCGCTGGTTGGCTGCCTCTGGCACACCCCACTCTGGGGATGGAGCTTGAACCCAGGCAAGTGCCCTGACCGGCAATTGAACTGTGACCTCCTGGTTGATGCTCAACCACTGAGCCATGCCGGCTGGCTTGGCCTATGCTTTTAAAGGAAAAGCCAAATTAGCTGTCACGTAGCCTCACTGTACGGAATCCTGTGCTAATGAGGCACTGAGTGGGGAGCAGGAGGCGGAATCGCACCATCGGTGTGGAAGCCGTGGAAACACACAGCGTATAGAAGACACCAGAAGCATGGTTGCCAAAGGTTCTCCACATCACTTCTGGGTAGAAGTGTTTTTGTTTTTTTAACTATTTTTTGGGGGGGAGTAATTCTAGATATACAGAAAGTTGCAGAGGGACTTATCTGGCAACATAAAATGGGCCTGAACTTCACCTAAAAGGAAGAGCCTCCATGGCGGAGCCCTGGGACCGTGGGTTCAGAACCAGGTCCTGACACTGCCCGTCTGCTGTGCAGCATTGGGCCACGCCCCTGTACCTCCCTCAGCCTCAGTTTCCTCTGGCAAATGGGAGAGCACCCTTCCCAGCCCCAAGCACAGGTGCTAGCAGGCAGATGCCCATGTCAGAGCCCACATACCCACCCTACCTTACAGATGGGGAAACCAAGGCCTATACCCAAATGGCTCATTGTAGGTGACCAGTGAGGGATACAACTCTGAACGCCCCTCTTTGTTTCCCCAGAGCCGCCGCCTACAGCAAACTCGGGAATTATGCGGGGGCCGTGCAGGACTGCGAGCGGGCCATCTGCATAGACCCATCCTACAGCAAAGCGTATGGCAGGATGGGGTGAGTGCCTGGGCAGGCGCCCCTTGTGGGGCCGGACTGCCCCTCCCTCTGCATCCACCACATTCCTCCTCTACTGATTGTGGGGAGGGTTTTCTATTCCATTAACCACCTCTCCACCGCCAGCAGAGGGTTCAGCCATTCCATTCAGTCCCGACACCACCTCCCTGGATGTAGCCAGACCCCACTGGTCAGGGCTCAGCCCCACGTCAGACACCAATCAACCGACCAACCAGCCATCATAAGGGCTTCCCATGACGCCCTCCTCAGGAGCGACAATTCCCTAGAATGACTCACAGATCTCAGGAAAACATTTTACCTGCATTTACCAGTTTGTTAGAAAGGATACAGATGGACCAGCCTGAAAGAGGCACACAGGGTAAATCCAGCATGGTCCTGGATTTTGGGTGCCAGAGCCTCTGTCCCTGTGGAGTGGGGGGTACACCACCCAAATGGCACATGGGTGTGGTCACCCTCTTTGGGTGTGATTAGAAGGGGCTCATGAATGACAGAGGACACGCTGACTCGGGGAATTTCAGGAGCTCTGCCCGGAGCAGCAGGGACAAGGACCAAATACACATCTTTGTCTGGCCACCCTGGCCCTCGGCATTCCATCCTTTAGGCCAATGGTCAGCAAACCGAAGCTCGCGAGCCACATGCAGCTCTTGAATGTGGCTCTTCCACAAAATGCCATGTGCGGGCGCGCACGGACAATGTGATTGAAACTTCATGGCCCATGCACAGAAGTAGGTTTTGGGCCTGGGCAAGTCTATTTTGAAGAAGTGGTTCTAACGCCAAGCCACACTCAAGGGGCCAAAGAGCCGCATGTGGCTCACGAGCCGCGGTTTGCCAACCCCTGCTTTAGGCCTTCAAAGCCCTTGGTATTGGGTACCACCACTAGAATCCACTGCATTTGAATTGTCATGTTCATCCTCTTAGCCCCTCCCCTGACCCCTTTAGTGTCCTCCACTGGGGCCCAGACTGGACAAGGAATGGTGACATTGACATGGAGACCGTTTGAGGTGTGGGGACTGAGGGAGGGGCCGGAAGCTCCTGGGGCCTCTCCGCTTCATCCCCAGCATCTCTCCCCGCAGCCTGGCGCTCTGCAGTTTGAACAAGCACGCGGAGGCCGTGGCCTACTATAAGAAGGCCCTGGAGCTGGACCCCGACAACGAAACATACAAATCCAACCTCAAGATAGCGGAGCTGAAGCTGAGAGAGGCCCCCAGCCCCGTGAGTCCCCTGGGAACGAGGGCGGCGCGTCTGTCAGGGAGGCAGAGCACAGGCCAGGCCAGGCCGACGCTCTCACGGCTCTCAGGCTGAGGCTGGCTCGGCCTGTGTGCAGAGCATGCCTGGGCTGTTGGAGGACCCGGCATTTGTTTAATCGGGTGTGAGACACACTGTCAGGGAGGAAGATTTTTCTGCCGTCGCAGAGCCCTGGAAACAGGACATGCTGCAGGGTCAGCGGGGAAGCACCGGGGTCAGTCAGGAGGTGAAGGAAGAGGGGAAAGGTGGACCAGAGCCTTTATTATGATTTCATGAGAAGGAAGGGGTGATGTGGGGTCGGGGGAGCAGGCTTAGGTTTTACTAGTTTGAATAATTCCAGGGGACTGTGGTAGAGGCCAGCCCTAACTGGCACCTGGCTCTGGGGTGACCAGGGCCAAAGGACTGGCTGAGTGTGAGAGCCTCGTGGAGAAGGGGGTGGGAGTGAACCGTGGGTGGCCTGACTTGCATTTGAAAGGTGCACTCCTAGGTGAGTATTGACTGTCTCTAGGAATTGGTTACCCCAGGAGGGCCCAAACCTCCAGGGTCTGCCAGGCCTCAGATGTCAGAGCATCAGGAAATGAGAGATGCAGTTAACACAGTACCTTTCCCCAGTGATGGACGGTGGGGCTCCTGCTTTTTATGAAGCTCCCCTAGCTTATGGGCTGGCTGCTTAGGCCGAGAGAGCATCTGTTTGAGCTAAACACCTCTGAGAACTCCCAACGGGCCCCACATGGGGTATCCTCTCAGCTCCTGGGCCAGTATTATCTCCCTGTGTCCTGATGCCACTAACCAGTGCTTTCCTCATCCCCACAGACAGGAGGGCTCGGCAGCTTTGACATCGCGGGCCTGCTGAACAACCCAGGCTTCATGAGCATGGTAACTGCCCTCATCTCCCCCAGCAGCGTCCATGCCCGCCACCTGGGCCTGCCACAGCACTGCCTGCATAGACCAGGCCACTGATGTGGCAGCGTGGACACTGGGGCCAGATCACTCTGGGCTGGGGGCCTGCCTGGGCACTACGGGGTGTTGAATAGCATCCCTGGCCCCACCTACTCCATGCTAGGAGCACCCCCAGTGACGGCAACCACAGATGTTTCAATAGTTGTCTTGTGTCCCCTGGAGCCAGTATACCTCCAAGAGAGACCCCCCCTCTCCCCTCATGATTGAGCCAAAGGATAAATTAGATCCTACCTCTCTTGGCTGAATAACGGGAAAATTACGTCCCCGCTGCCTAGCATGGTGTTCTCACGGGAGACCGTGATAGTGACAGGGTCATGCCTGCAGGATCAGATGGGACCCCAGAGCACTAGGTATCCCATTGAGAGTAGGCTCCCGTTGTGAGTGGAGGGGGCTGGTCCCTACACACACATGCCTATTTCTTTCTTTTTTTTTTTTTTCCTTAATTTTTATTGTTCATATTAATACAAATGTCCCTTCCCCCCTTTCCCACCCCACCCTCTGCCCTTTCCCCACCCCCCATTGTCCTCATCCATAGGTGCACAGTTTATGTTCAGTCTCTTCCCACATCCCCCTCTCCCCTTTTCCCCAAGAATCATCAGTTCACTCCCCTTCCATACCTCTGATTCTATTATATTCAACAGTTAATATTGCTCCTCAGATTTTTTAAAATTTCCTTGGTTTTTAGATTCACTTGTTGATAGTTACGTATTTGTTGTTCATAATTTTTATCTTTATTTACTTTCTCTTCTGAAAGAACCCCCTTCAGCAATTCATATAATTCTGGTTTGGTGGTGATGAACTCCTTTAGCTTTTTTTTATTAGTGAAGCTCTTTATCTGACCTTCGAATCTGAGTGATAGCTTTGCTGGATAGATTATCTTCGGCTGTAGGTTCTTACTATTCATCATCTTGAATATTTCTTGCCATTCCCGTCTGGCTTGCATGGTTTCTGTTGAGAAGTCAGCTGACAATCGTATAGGTGCTCCTTTATAGGTAACTACCTGCCTAGCTCTTGCTGCTTTTAATATTCTCTCTTTGTCTTTTGCTCTTGGAATCTTAATTATGATTTGTATTGGTGTGGTCCTCTTTGGATTCCTTTTTTTTTTTTTTTTTTTTTTTTTTTTTTTAAATATATTTTATTGATTTTACACAGAGAGGAATCGAGAGGGACAGAGAATTAGAAATGTCGATGAGAGAGAAACATCGACCAGCTGCCTCTTGCACCCCCCCCACTGGGGATGTGCCCACAACCAATGTACATGCCCTTGACCGGAATCGAACCTGGGACCCTTCAGTCTGCAGGCCGACGCTCTATCCACTGAGCCAAACCGGTCCCGGCTGGATTCCTTTTATTTGGAGTTCTGTGTGCTTCTTGGACTTGTAAGTCCAATTCTTTCCCCAGGTGGGGGAAGTTTTCTGTCACTATTTCTTTCAATATGTTTTCGATATCTTGCTCTCTCTCATCTTCTGGGACCCCCATAATTCTGATGTTGGATCGTTTGAAGTTGTCCCAGAGGTTTCTTACATCATCTTCAATTTTCTGGATTCTCTTGCCTTCTAGCGAATGCAGAGGAGTATCTTCTGGCTCTTTATGTTCCAAATCTTTGACTTGATTCTCAATTTTCTGGATTCTCTTGCCTTCTAGCTTCTGCGGAGGAGTATCTTCTGGCTCTTTATGTTCCAAATCTTTGACTTGATTCTTGCGATCTTCTATTCTGTTTTTAGGACTCTGTATAATAGTTTTTATTTCAGACAATATATTCTTTATTTCTTGTTGATCCCTTTTCATATCCTCATAAGTCTCATTTATTTTATCGGCCTTTTCTAGGAAACTCTTGAAAAACCTTATAAGTGTGGTTTTGAACTCTATATCCAGTCGCTTTTTGTCCTCCATTTCTTTCGTTTGTGATCTATTTGGTTTAGGCATTTTCGCAGGCAGCTTTCCTGATGGGGCGGGGTTTCAGGGTGGAGCCTACAGCTTTGGCTTTTGTCAGCCCCGCCCTATGCGACTCCTGAGACTCAGGGTCCTTCAGTACTTGTTGTAAGCGCCTCTGAGAGAAAGGCGCCCTGGATCGCCTGCTACCAAACAGTCTAGTCTCTCCCCCAATGGTCCCGAAACTGGGGTTCAGTTCAGTTGGAAGTGGAGTTGGAGGTGGCGTTCAGAGCAGTCCGGAGCCCCTGTCTCCTTCCCGCCAGGCAATCCCGCGGCACAGCCAACCGTCCCTTCTCTGCGCGGCGCCGCAGCCGCAGCCACCGCCGCCGGGACCTCCTTTCGCCTCTTCCCCGGGGTTCCGCCTTTCAGCCCGGCTCCCTCTGTGTGAGCCTGGGTCCCCGGGGTCTGGCCTAGGCCTGGGGTTCAGAGCAGTCAGAACTGGGGCCAGCACAGTCAGAACTGGGGCCAGCGTTTGTCTCCTTCCCGCTAGGGAACGCCAGCCAGGCACTCCGCCTCCCTCCTCTCCGGCTCCGTCCTCTCCGCGCGCCGCGTGTCTCCGTACCTTAGGCTTTTCCAGCTCCTCCGCGCTTCCTTCTGGTTTTCTCCTTGCTTCTCGTTGTAGAATTTCCAGTCAGTCAACTTTCCTGTAGTTCTGGGTGATGTCCATTTTATATTTTAGTTGTATTTTGTTGAAATTGTTGCGTGCAGCGCGGCTAGGTGCCTACCCGAGCAGCCATCTTGGATTCTCTCCACACATGCCTATTTCTGAGTGATCTCGCTCTGCCTGAGGTCGCACTGCTGGCCTACAGGGCCTCAGGGTGTAGGGTCTCAAACTGTCTGGAAGAGAAAAATCCTCAGTACACCGAGGAGCAGAGGCTTACTTTCATTGCAAGCCTACGCCACAGCCAAAGCCAGGGTCTTGGTTGATGGATGGGGATGAGTGCCCGCACTCCGAAGGCACCCTGGCTCAGGGACTCAGCCTCATAGCAGCCGCGCCTTCTGACTTCAGCCACCCAGCTCCTGCTGGTTTGTGTACTTTGACTGGCACGGCCAGGGCCACGCGGCTTTTGGCAGAGCTGAATGATTGGAGCAGAGACACCCTGAAAGCTGGCAGTATGCCCTTTACAGAAAGTTAGGCAGCCCGTGAGCAATGGCCTCGCAGGAAGCTTTTCAGGCCTACCCTCCTCTCCTGACCTGGCTCTGAGGAGATGTCCTCAGTGAGCTGTGAAGGCTCAAAGTGCCCAGTGCAGTGCTGTTTACCGATGGAGTGAAACGAGACTGCCTGGCTCTCCTAATGTCTTATGACCCAAAAAGATCTAAAATACACACTCCCAGCGAAACCTAAGGTGCCCGGGAGTCTCCTGAAATAAGGGTCTCAAATGGGATCAAAGTGGTGAGAAATATGAGTCTCAGCGCACGGAGGAAGAAATGGGGTATAGGGAAGAGGCGGGGAGGGCAAGTATCTGGGTGACATGCTTTCTGTGCTGGGCAGGAGAGCCCAGGGTGCTTGCGAGGGAACTCAGTCAGAAGCTGTCCTCTGACGATTGTTTTTTTTTTCTTCAGGCATCAACCATGATGAACAACCCCCAGGTTCAGCAGCTGTAAGTGACCACCCTTCCCCAGGGTCTTGTGCTTTAATCTCTTTTTGTGGTAAAACACATAAGATTATCATATTAAACCATTTAGTTTACAACTCAGTGGCACTGCGTGCATTTAACAGTGTCATGCAGCTATCACCACTATCGAGTTCCAGAATATTCCACCCCAAAAGAAGCCCCATCCTCATGATGGTAGTCACTCCCCCTCCCCACAATCCCTGGCAATAACTAACCCAATTCCTGCTGTGAATTTAATTTTTCTGTTCTGGAAATTTCACTTAAGTGGAATCACACACTGTGTGACCTTTGGTGTCACATGGGGGCCAGAGTTGCCCCCTTGAGAATCAGTGTCTTTAGGGCAAAAAGCCGTTCCTGGAAGAGCAGATGGAACTCATAGGGCAGCCATCAGGGAGAACAGAACTTCTCTTGCTAGCAGAGGCCAGGGGCTGAGTGGAGCCACTGGGGCGGCGGGCTGGGCCATCTGCCTAAGTCCCAGGCTCTCTTCTTGCAGCATGTCTGGCATGATTTCCGGCAGCCACAACCCCCTGGGGACTCCTGGCACCAACACGTCACAGAATGACCTGGCCAGTCTCATCCAGGCGTGAGTACACCTGTACAGTGAGACACAGTGGGCAGGCGGGGACACTCCTCATGGGAAAATGGAAATGTCAACGCTGTGTCCTCTAGCGAGTGGCCACATGACAGATGCCTGGGGGACATTTCAGAGGGATGTTTGGAGAAGCTGAGCCCGGCACCTCTCTCACAGGGGCCAGCAGTTCGCTCAGCAGATGCAGCAGCAGAACCCAGAGTTCATTGAACAGCTTCGAAGTCAGATGCGAAATCAAACGCCCAGTGCCAGCAGCGATGACCAGCAGGAATGACCGCTCACGTGAGTTTCCTGAGGGGGTGGGGGAGGTGCAGGCCCCTTCCAGATGCTCCTCCCCCTGCCAACTCCCACTGAGAGACACGGACCGACACCTCCCAGCTTCTGGAAGGGCTGGTCCCTACGTGTGTCTACAGCTGACAAGAGAACAGGAGGTGCTGGCAGTGCTTTTCTGTGCACCTGCAGAATGTCCTAGTGGCCCCAGTGGATGTGAGGCGAGGTCACCCAGGCAGGGGAAGGACAGATCTATATGTGCCTGGTTTTCATGATTTGGGGGTTTTATCTTGTTTTACTGTGAGCAGATGTTACATGTATACTTGCTTAAAAATATACTCGGAGGGTCCCTGGAGACCTTCGCTGCTTGGTTAGCTGTCCCTGGGCCCCTCACCTCCACCCTGTCTGTATCCAGTGATTCTGCTCCTGGATACAGCTGGCAGGTGGCTTTCTTTATTTTGTTACCTTCCTCCTAACATTTTTATATTAACCATGATTTTTTTTAAATATATTTGTATTGATTTTAAAGAAGAAGGAGAGGGAGGGAGAGATAGAAACATCATTGATGAGAGAGATAATTGATTGGCTGCCTCCTGCACGCCCCACACTGGGGATTGAGCCTGCAACCCGGGCATGTGCCCTTGACGGGAATTGAACCTCAGACCCTTCAGTCCGCAGGCTGATGCTCTATCCACCAAACCAAACCGGCTAGGACTTAACCATGATTTTTAAAATAGAAAAATGTAAAAGAAAAAGCACAGACAACAACTTTAATCTTTCCATGCAAAGCAACGAATATTAATATTTGGAGTATACTTTTTCTTTCCTTTTTTTTGCCTTAATTTTAAGTCAAAACATAGGTCAGTTTTATATTTGTTATTTGTTGGAACTTTATCCCCCAAGTATTTTCTTTTTTCTTTTTTTAATATATTTTATTGATTTTTTTTACAGAGAGGGATAGAGAGTTAGAATCATCGATGAGAGAGAGAACCATCGATCAGCTGCCTCCTGCACACGCCCACTGTGCCCGCAACCAAGGTACATGCCCTTGACCGGAATCGAACCTGGGACCTTTCAGTCCGCAGGCCGACGCTCTATCCACTGAGCCAAACCGGTTTCGGCCCCAAAGTATTTCACCGACATTCTCATGTCTGGGCCCCAGAGCCACTGTGATGATGACCGGGCGGTTTCTGTGCTTACGCGGCAGCCACAGGCCACACAGGCAGATTGATTTAGGTCTCCCAGCTGCAGGGGCTGCCTGGCTGACCACTGCATGTCTTGTCCTTCCAGCCATTCCAGTGCCATCGGGTTCTTCCCAGCTGACTGGAGCCTCCACACCTTCTGCCATTTTCTCCCATTGGATTGCCAGAGAGGGAAAAAGAAAAAGAAATTGGACCTGCATGAGATGGATTTTTATGCTTTTTATTTTTTCCTTTCACCCTCACCTTCCTTTTTATACTCCCCGATGGCTCCCAGACCCTTTTCGAAACAGAGCCAGCAAGCTGTGAACGCAGACCAGCACCAATCTCCAAAAAGCCCAGTCACTAAAGTATTTTCTAGAATATTCCGGAGTGGGGATGGTCCTCGGGGATGTTCTCCAAGAAGTTACCGGTTTTACGTCCAGCTACGTCCGAAGCCCGATGCCTTTTTGAGTCAACCTTGGCTGCTCGGACGAGCTCACTGCCAGCCACGGCCTGGGCACCAGTGTCCGCCGGACCCTTAGACCACAGGTTTTTGCATGAGGAACTTGTGTTGCAGATTCCTAAAGACATTTTCAATTCCCTGCGCCTGTCTGGAGCGGGACTGTCTTAGGGTGCCTAGGGCCAGCTTTGGGGACAATTGAGCATTTTGATCGATGTGCCTTTCACCCCTTTTGATCCTCCTTCCCCAGTACTCACACCCGACAGACCATGAGGCAGGTGATCGTGACCTTCGGGCCTGGCCCCTAAGCCGTCCCAACTTGCCTGTGTGTTCTGGGGCCATTGGTGTCCCCCTCCTCAGCTAGCAGGCCAGAGCTGCCTCCAGGGAGGGCAAGCACACAAGCCAGGGATGGTAGCCTGTCTAAGGTGCAAGGCCACCATAGACACCTCTGCATTCCCTGCTTCGGCAGGGTCTCCGGGTGAATCTGCTGGGACCTTGTGCTGGCGGCAGTGTTGGAGGCTCCCTGGTGGTCTGCAAAGTTGACCCAGTGCCGTGTGTCATAGGAAACTAGTAGGAAGAAGGGCCACCATCCGCTGCTGCAGTCATCACTTGGATGGCAAGGTGGCCCTACTCTTGAGTGCTAGCCATGGTGACAAGAGTGATGTGTGGGGAATAAATAGACATTGTGACCTCTGCCAGTCTCTGCATTGACCTCTCAGCAACACCCATGCTCTCCCTGCCCCAAGTTTCTAGAACCCCATAGCCTAGAGTTTCCATATCGCCCAGGACACAAGAAATAACACACTGCCTGAGATGACATGACATGACTAAGCTTTTCTTGTGCCAGGGTCACAGGTTCCAGAAATGGCAAACCTCAGCTGTCCCATGTTTTTCCCTCACCGCTGACCACAATTACACTCACACACCCACCATGTAAGTGATGGCCTTAGGGGTCAAGCTAGGATCCTAAGTTCTCAGGGACAGAGTAAGATTATTGTTCATTGCTTTTCTAGTATGTTCTCACAAATTTCACCATTCTGGAACCCAAGGACCCTCCCTCCCACAGCTTCCAGGGGAGAGACCTGGCCCTCGGCAGAAAGGAGCCCAGAAACTTCCAGGCTTGTCTTGGCCTCGGGTTTCATCCCCCAACTTTGTGGATATAGAAAGCACTCCACAGTCACTACAGAAATCTTGCTTGAATTCTCAGCTCCTATTGACAACATTGCGTGGCTGGCACCATCACACCCATTTCACGAGTGAAGGAACAGCCTTGACTCTCAGCTCACCCAGCCCTTGAATGGCAAACCTGGTGCAGTGTGACCCCCAGTTGCAGGTCCTGTGCCAGGAGTGGCTGATTGAGGACCCCATCTCTGAAGGCTGCCTGCTTCATCCACAGACGAAGGCTTAGCAGTGGTCCTCCCGCAAATCAGAAAATCACAAAGTACGACTGCAAATCAGCAGCCCCAGGAAACAGTCTGGTATGGACCGTGAATGGGGAGGGGGGCAAGAATGAGGCCTGTGCCTGTCTTACAGGGCCTTCACTAGGGGTGAATCTGTCACGGAGTCACTATTGTCATGACTGGCGGTGCTCCTGGCAACAGCTGGGTGGGGGGTGGGAGGGCAGTGATACTGCTCAACACCCTGCAGTGGCCAGGACAGGCCCTCCCAGAGAATGACCCGATCCCAATGTCCACAATGCTGAGGGGGCTCTCCACTAGGACAATGCATGTCAATGTGTGACACCTCCCAGCCCAGCCCAGTCATGTCAGCAGCTGGGAGCTTGGTAGAAATGCAAATCCTTGGCCTTCCACCGCCAGACAAACTGGATCAGAAACTCAGAGTAGGTCCCAGTAGGTCCCTGATGATGCTGGTGCCCACCAGTGTTCTAGAACCATTGGTTGGGTCTATGCATTCTGCATTTAAGATATGCAGCCTGGCTCAGAGGTCATGGTTCGATTCCAGGTCAGGGCACTTGCTGGGTTGTGGGTTTGATCCAGCAGGGGTTGAGCAGGAGGGAGCTGATCAATGATTATCATCTCTCCCTCTCCCTCTCTCTGAAATTAATAAAAGCATATAAAAGTGTTTTAAATAGGAGCCCAGGTGGTTCTGAGCCACATGTTTGGAGAATCCCACTTTGAGAAACACTGGTGGGAACTTGAAAATGAGCCATACATTCCAGAAGCACCTACCTGTGTCCTAGGTCTTCCCAGATCTCCATTCCTTCCCTCCCCTCCTATGTCCTTCACTGGAAGGCCTTGCCCAAGCTGCTCCAAGTGTACCCCAAGCATAACTGTTCAGGAAAGACCCAGAAACTTCCTTGGTTGGAACTGCTAGCTGAGGGGGAATGGGAAAAAAAAAAAACCACACCTGTCAACAATCTCATCCAAGAAGCCAGTGTCTTCCATGTGATTTGACAAGTGTGTCATGATAATTACAGCTCCATCCCACATGAGTTTTAAATAGAATATTTCTGAATATGCCTGTCAGAAGTGCATTGAACAAAAAAAAAAGAAAAGGCAATTAAAAAAATGGATTTGGCATAAATCGTGACTAAAAAGGCTTCCAGGAGTAGGATGAGCCTATGATGTAAGGCAGGGGCTGCTACCATAGATGGAGTTACGAAGGCTCTGTCCTTTCCATCTCCACAGTCAGCAAGTCTTTCCTGCAGGCTAGACTGTAAAACCCCACCCAGATTAAGTCCCAGGAAGCAACCAGAAAGAAAATACATCTCACAGAAGCAGGATTCTCAGCTGGGGGCAGTTTTGCTCTCCAGGAGACACTAGGCCACGTTTGGGGACATCTATGGTGGTTGCTCCTGACTGAGTGGGTTGGGGTCAGGGGTAGCCCCCACAGAGATAAGCCGGCCCCAGTGTCAGCACTGCCAAGACTGACTACCCCACCTGCTGGTACTGCCAGCACACATGGCCTAGATAAATGTGTCAAACCACTGTCCCAAATCATTTTGCCATCAGCAAAAATAATTTGTTCACTGGCTCTAGAGTGCCCTTGTAAATCTTTGCAGCAAAGATTTCACCCCAACTTGGGTAACTTGAAAACCCCAAACTGATGGCTTCCCCGACCCCAGTCCTCCCTCGTGCAAACTGATGATTTCAAAGTTGGAGAAAATGATGGAGCTCTCTGAATGTGACCCTTGTAGATAAGAAGCTGAGGCCACCAGGTGGCGCACCAGCTCCATAACCTCTCCACCACCTAAATCCTTGGAGAGGCACACAGAGCATCAGGACCAGAAAGATGCCGAATCTATGATGAAACTACCTAGGTTTGGACCTAAAAATGATTCAATTCTCGGTATTAATGTGTGGTTTTTCCTTTCAGAGGTATAAGTCCTTGCAACCAGGGATG